TATCATTTAAAGTGTATGGATCTTGTGAGACGACAACGCGCTTTCCATTGGGACGGTACAGTGAGTGTTGTCACCCTGGGAGAGGAAGCCAAAAGGTGAATGTATCATTTAAAGTGTATGTATATCCCGATCTTGTTCTGGGATGGCAACGCTGCTCTTCCATTGGGACTGTACAGTGAGTGTTGTCACCCTGGGAGAGGAAGCCAAAAGGGGAACGTATCATTTAAAGTGTATGTACAGCCTGATCTTGTTCTGGGATATGACAACGCTGCTCTTCCATTGGGACGGTACAGTGAGTGTTGTCACCCTGGAAAAGAGGAAGCCAAAAGGGGAACGTATCATTTAAAGTGTATGTACATCCGGATCTTGTTCTGGGATGACAACGCTGCTTTTCCATTGGGACGGTACAGTGAGTGTTGTCACCCTGGGAGAGGAAGCCAAAAGGGGAACGTATCATTTAAAGTGTATGTACATCCAGATCTTGTTCTGGGATGACAACGCTGCTCTTCCATTGGGGACAGTACAGTGAGTGTGTTGTCACCCTGGGAGAGGAAGCCAAAAGGGGAACATATAATTTAAAGTGTATGTACATTCGGATCTTGTTTCTGGGATGACAACGCTGTTTCTTCCATTGGGACGGTACAGTGAGTGTTGTCACCCTGGGAGAGGAAGCCAAGAGGGAACGTATCATTTAAAGTGTATGTATATCCCGATCCTGTTCTGGGATGACAACGCTGCTCTTCCATTGGGACGGTACAGTGAGTGTTTGTCACCCTGGGGAGAGGAAGCCAAAAGGGGAACGTATCATTTAAAGTGTATGTACATTCGGATCTTGTTCTGGGATGACAACGCCGCTCTTCCATTGGGACTGTACAGTGAGTGTTGTCACCCTGGGAGAGGAAGCCAAAAGGGGAATGTATTATTTAAAGTGTATGTACATCCTGATCTTGTTCTGGGATGACAACGCTGCTCTTCCATTGGGACAGTACAGTGAGTGTTGTCACCCTGGAAGAGGAAGCCAAAAGGGGAATGTATCATTTAAAGTGTATGTACATCCGATCTTGTTCTGGGATGACAACGCTGCTCTTCCATTGGGACAGTACAGTGAGTGTTGTCACCCTGGAAGAGGAAGCCAAAAGGGGAACATATCATTTAAAGTGTATGTACATTCGGATCTTGTTCTGGGATGACAACGCCGCTCTTCCATTGGGACGGTACAGTGAGTGTTGTCACCCTGGGAGAGGAAGCCAAAAGGGGAACGTATCATTTAAAGTGTATGTACATTCGGATCTTGTTCTGGGATGACAACGCCGCTCTTCCATTGGGACGGTACAGTGAGTGTTGTCACCCTGGGAGAGGAAGCTTGTTATTGGCAGGATCAACAGTTGAAACAGGGGCGGACTGACCATTTGGAAACTCGGACACTGCCCGAGGGCCCGGGGTCAGTAGGGGGCCCCATGAGATGCCCTGGTACCTTTTTTCATAGGCTTTTTGGAGTTTGGGCAAGGACACAGGGGCCCCATGATCCCCTATTGCCTGGGGGCCCCATGAGTTGTCAGTCCGCCCCTGAGTTGAAAATATAAATGTGAAGGGCTCACCACATCTATAGGCCGGTAAGCTGCAAGAAATGACATTTTTGTATTTGGGTTTGGATGCGATTTAAGGGTCTGTCTACCCAGACTGGCAGTCAGTTATAGTGGATGGTGGAGACCTTTGATGTGATCTCTGCAATGGGTTTCTGGGTCTATACACCCCGCAGCGGCCATTATGAGAGGTTACCACCATCCCTGTGCTGAGTTCCTAGGTCTTTACAGTATATCTGCTGCGCCCATAATGAGGGGTTCTCACCATCCCTGTGGTATGTCCAAGGACATGTACACCTGCTGTGCCCATTTAGGAAGGGCTCCCACCATCCCTGCAATTCTGGATCTGCATACCTGCTGTGCCCATTATGAGGGGTGTCCCCCATCCCTGTGCTGCGTTTTGGGGTCTGTACACCTGCTGTGCCCGCTATGAGGGGTTTCCACCATCCCTGCGCTGAGTTCCTGGATCTGCATACCTGCTGATATCATTATGAGGGATCCGCACCATCCCTGCGCTGAGTTCCTGGGTCTGCATACCTGCTGATATCATTATGAGGGATCCGCACCATCCCTGTGCTGAGTTCCTGGGTCTGTACACCTGCTGTGCTCATTATGAGGGATCCCCACCATCCCTGTGCTGGGTTCCTGGGTCAGTACACCAGCAGTGCCCATTATGAGGGGTCCCCACCATCCCTGTGCTGGGTTCCTGGTCTATACACCAGCTGTGCCCATTATGAGGGGATACCACCATCCCTGTGCTGAATTTTTGGGTCTGTACACCTGCTGTGCCCATTCTGAGGGGTCCCCACCATCCCAATGCTGAGTTCCTGGTCTATACACCTGCAGTGCCCATTCTGAGGGGTACCCACCATCCCTATGCTGTTATTGGATCTGCACACCTGCTGTGCTCATTATGAGGGGTTCTCACCATCCCTGTGCTGGGTTCCCGGGTCTGTAAACCTGCTGTGCTCATTATGAGGGGTTCTCACCATCCCTGTGCTGGGTTCCTGGTTCTGTACACTTGATGTGGCCATTAAGAGGGGTTTCCACCATCTCTATGTCGAGTTTCCAGGTTTGCATACCTGCTGTGCCCATTAAGAGGGGTTTCCCACCATCCCTGCATTGAATTCCCCAGGAGCAGGGCCCTCCTCACCAGTGGTGTTTTTAGGTTTTTTGCTGCCTTAAGCAACATAAAAATCATACGCCCCCCCCCCCCCCCCCCCCCCCCGGCGGAGCGAGCCTGACAGTGACCAACAACCCCGGAGAGGGGATTCCACTAACACCCCCCCCCCCCCCCGCCCCCAGGAGAATGCTGCCCTAGGCAAATGCTTTGTTTGCCTTGCCTTGTGGTAAATACGCCCCTGATCCTATCCCTCTTGTATTGAACTGTATTGTTGCTGTATTGTCTCCCGTTATATTGTAAAGTGCTGAGCAAACTGTTGGCGCTATATAAATCCTGTATAATAATAATAATAATAATAATAATAATAATATAAAATCCTGTATAATAATAATAATAATAATAATAATAATAATAATTATAATAATAATAATATATAAATTCTGTATAATAATAATAATGATAATAATAATATAAATCCTGTATAATAATAATAATAATATAAATCCTGTATAATAATAATAATTATAAAAAAAAAATATAAATCCTGTATAATAATAATAATTATAATAATAATAATAATACAAATCCTGTATAATAATAATAATAATAATAATTATAATAATAATAATAATAATATAAATCCTGTATAATAATAATAATAATAATAATAATAATAATAATAATAAATTTAAATCCTGTATAATAATAATAATATAAATCCTGTATAATAATAATGATAATAATAATAATATAAATCCCCTATAATAATAATATAAATCCTGTATAATAATAATAATAATAATAATAATACAAATCCTGTATAATAATAATAATAATAATAATTATAATAATAATAATATAAATCCTGTATAATAATAATAATAATAATAATAATAATAATAATAATAATATAAATCCTGTATTATAATAATAATGATAATAATAATAATATAAATCCTGTATAATAATAATATAAATCCTGTATAATAATAATATAAATCCTTTATAATAATAATAATGATAATAATAATAATAATATATAAATCCTGTATAATAATAATAATGATAATAATAATAATAATATAAATTCTGTATAATAATAATAATAATAATTAGCACTGATCGCTGTATTTATTTATTTCAGGTACTTATATAGCGCCATCAATTTACACAGTGCTTTACATATATATTGTACATTCACATCAGTCCCTAACCCTCAAGGGGCGTACAATCTAAGGTCCCTAACTCACATTCATACATACACATACTAGAGACAATTTAGACAGGAGACAATTCACCTACCAGCATGTCCTTGGAGTGTGAGAGGAAACCGGAGTACCCGGAGGAAACCCACGCAGGCACAGGGAGAACATGCAAACTCCAGGCAGGAGGTGCCATGGCTGGGATTTGAACCAACGACCCTAGTACTGCGGCAGACATGCTAACATGATCATGATGTGTTGGTGTCACTGGGGATGTCAGTGACACCCAATCAGTTCCCCCCCAGTGTCAGAATGCCCATCGCAGTCCCGCTGTAAGTCGCTGATCGCAGCCATTACTAGTAAAAAGAAAAAAAACAAATTCCATTATCCATACCGCCATTTGTAGATGCTATAACTTTCACGTAAACCAATTCATTTACACGTATTGGGATTTTTATTTCAGCAAAGACATGAAGCAGAATACATTTTGGCCTAAATTTATGACGACATTTAATTTTTTTATTTATTTTTTAGAAAAAAAAAAGTGGAAAATATAGTTTTTTTTCCCTAAAATTGTTGGTCTTTTTTTTGTTTATAGCACAAAAAATAAAAACGCACAGGTGATCAAATACCACCGAACGAAAGATCTATTTGTGGTTGAAAAAAAGGACATAAATTTAATTTGAGTGCAGTGTTGCATGACCGCGCAATTGTCAGTTAAAGTAACGTATCACAAAAAATGGTCTGTTGAGGAGGGGGGATCCTCTGGAGCGGGAGGGGTTAACTTGGGTTTTACTGTTTAACCACAAGCCTTCCTGCCCAGGCCAATTTTCAGCTCCCAGCGCTGTCACACTTTGACTGACAATTACGCGGTCATGCAACATTGTACCCATATGAAATTTTTATCATTTTTTTGAGACAGATAGAGCTTTCTTATGGTGGTATTTAATCACCTCTGGGTTTTTATTTTTTGCTAAACAAACCAAAAACCACTGAAAATTTAAAAAAAAAAAAGTGTCTTAGTTTTTGTTATAAAAGTTTTTTTCTTTCACTTATGTGCGCTAATGAGGCTGCAGTGATGGGCACTGATAGGCTGCACTGGTAGGCACTGATAGGTTGCACTGATGGGCACTGGTAGCCACATCAATGCCACATATCAGTGCCTACCAGTGCACATCAATGCCACATATCATTACCCATCTGAGCTGCCTTTCAGTGTCACCCATTAATGCCAATCAGTGCTGCCAATCAGTGCCACCTATCAGTGCCGGTCAGTGCCGCCTACCAGTGCCAGTCAGTGCCACCTATCAGTACCAGTCAGTTCCAACTATCAATGCCAATCAGTGCCACCTATCAGTGCCAGTCAGTGCCACCTATCAGTGCTGCCAATCAGTGCCATACATCAGTGCCATACATCAGTGCTGCCTTTCAGTGCCCATCAGTGATGCCTGTCAATGCCCATCAGTACCACCTACCAGTGCCTCCTCATCAGTGCCGCCTATCAGTGCCCATCACTGCAGCCTCATTAGCGCACATCAGTGAAGGAGAAAAATCACTTATTTACAAAATTTTATAACAAAAACTAAGAAAAAATTGGGGTTTTTTTCAAAATTTTCTGTGGTTTTTGGTTTGTTTAAGAAAAAATAAAAAACACAGAGGTGATTAAATACCACCAAAATAAAGCTCTATCTGCCACAAAAAAAAATGATAAAAATGTTGCATGACCGCGCAATTGTCACTCAAAGTGCGACAGCGCTGAAAGCTGGAAATTGGCCTGGGCAGGAAGGGGGTATAAGTGCCCGGTAGACGAGGGGCTAATAAACATGCACCTCAGTGTGTAAATAAATGGAGACTAGAAGCTTTACCTTTTCTCTTGGTGCAGCAATGATCCCGCACTATAAATGCGTTGCCCGCCATCAGTTCCTGATAAAGTTTGCTGTGCCTGAAAGGCTTCGAGGGCCTGGCGGAATCTTTCCAGGATTGCAGAAATGTAGCGCGGCTCCAGCTGTGCGCGGGGCCCAGGGGCGCCATCCTTCGCACGCTGAACATTTTCATTTCTTCAAAAAGAATTCACATCAAGCTGTAAAGCAGGCGTCCTGTGAAAACTGGAATTCTGCTCTTATCTTTGCAGCCCTAACCAGTCCTTGGAGGGTCGTTGGGTGCCGGTCTCGGCCCCTCTGGCTACTGGAAGAGAAACGCTCGGCGGTTCACGCGGTGTGTCTCTTATGTTCCACGACGGCAGTGGCTCAAAGTATATAAAGAATGAAGAAGCGAGGGATAAAATATAGGAAGTAATAAAAGGAACTTGTACTGAGAGAAAAATGTAGGCTAGGCTGAAAAATGCTTTGTGGAGATATTCAACCCATCTGTGAACAGGCTGGTTGCATTATAAGTGATCGATCGATTGACTTCAGTATAACTAGCCCAGCGGTGGGCAATTGTGGCCCTCCAGCTGTTGGTGAACTACAAGTCCCATCATGCCTCTGCCTTTGGGAGTCATGCTTGTAACTGTCAGTTTTGCAATGCCTCATGGGACTTGTAGTTCTACAAGAGCTGAAGGGCCACAGTTCCCCACCCTTGAACTAGCCAGTTGGGTTTCTTTTAGACTGATCACTATCAACGGCTATTGCTGCTGGTTGCAATCATTGCATTCTGCCTGTGGAAAGGCTTCCAGCACTCCATGTCAGCCGAACACAATGGCGCTCCAGGAGGAATTCCCCCATCAACAACCTTTGGTTGAATGAAAGAGAGTCGCATAAATGCATTGCCTGCCTAAAGGTGGCAACATGACAACCACTGTAAGGGGGGCATTCAAATTACTGACCACCAATCTAAGAAGCATTCGTCCCACTAACCTCCAATGTGAGGGACATTCTTCCCACTGACCACCAATGTAAGGGACATTCTTCCCACTGACCTCCAATGGGAGGGACTTTCTTCCCACTGACCACCAATGTAAGGGACATTTTTTTCCACTGACCACCAATGTAAGGGACATTCTTCCCACTGAGCATCAATGTAAGGGACATTCTTCCCACTGACCACCAATGTAAGGGACATTCTTCCCACTGAGCATCAATGTAATGGACATTCTTCCCACTGACCACCAATTTAAGGGACATTCTTCCCACTGACCACCAATGTAAGGGACATTCTTCCCACTGAGCATCAATGTAAGGGACATTCTTCTCACTGACCTCCATTGTAAGGGACATTCTTCCCACTGACGACCAATATAAGGGACATTCTTCCCACTGGCCACCAATGTAAGGGACATTCTTCCCACTGACCTCCAATGTAAAGGACATTCTTCCCAATGACCACCAATGTAAGGTACATTCTTCCCACTGACCTCCAATGTAAGGGGCATTCTTCCCACTGACCTCCAATGTAAGGGACATTCTTCCCACTGACCTCCAATGTAAAGGACATTCTTCCCAATGACCACCAATGTAAGGGGCATTCTTCCCAATTTTTCTTTATTAAAACTCTTGCAATCAATAAGCAAAAAAATAATATACAGAATATAAAAAAATAAATAATTATATATATATTTACAGCAAAACAAAAATAAATATAGCAAAATCTGCTGTCAGACAAAAGCAAACGTCTCAGAAATGAACATGACATAATTGGGGAAATAAATCGTACTACCACTCACATCACTACACCAGACATCAAACCTGTGAGGTCAAGAAACCACCCCGCCCCCATTATACATGCAGCCCTTCTTCAAAAAAAACTAAGGGAGTGAAAAGAACAGTATAAGGAAAGAGCCCCTCACCCAGAGATGGACAGTTCACCAAAGGCAGGTCTGATATTCCTCCACGCCATTATCCAGACC